ACAACAAACAACAACAACAACAACAACAAAAAAACACCAAAAAAAACCCAAACGAAAAAACAACCCCAAAAAGTATCGGGACCGTTCGGGAGAAGTGGAATAGCAGAAGCGCCCGACTTCAATTTGAAGCACAAGCGCTTTCGAAACGTGGGAGCAGAGTCAGCGGTTTTACCGCTCGGTGTGAGGTTTTCCAGATTAAATAATAATAATAATTAAAAAAAAATACAAAAACTTCCCTTCGTTGTCTGTGCTGTAAAAACTCGAGGGACCTGCGAGGGCCGGGCCCGCTGCCGCCGCCGCCCGGGACGCCCCGGGAGCGGCCGGGAAACGCTGCTCCGCCGCAGGAATCGCCTTTCGGAGGGGAGAGGGGGCGAGATTTGGTAGGTCTGACTAAAAATCTGTGTTACCTCGCCTGGGTTGCAGCTGTTGGAGATGTTCCTGCAAACGCTTCCGAAACGGGGCAACAGGTTCGTGGGGTGGGTTTTTGAATCCCCGCTAAACTATTTCAATCATCCGGGGATATTGATGCAATTCCGAGCTGTCTCGGGAGTTTGCACAGAAATCTTTTAATGTCACGCGTAGCTGCCGCTGGATTTGTAATTTCTGCTCGCTCTAGAAATAGTTACTGTTGCCTAACGATTTTTTTTTTTTTTCTTTTTCCTGGGGCACAAGTCTCCCCTGCTTTTTTCCTACGGAAACCTGAGCTATCCTATGTTTACCTCCCCAAGCAGGGCTTATGTCAGCCTTGTTTTGTCCTGGATCCGGCTACTAAATCCTCCTGGCAGCCCTGCTGAAGTCCCTCCTCCGGGAAGCTCCTAATGTTAGCAGGCAATTACTGTTTTCTGTTTGCCTTCTTTTTCCTGGGGCACAAGTCTCCCCTGCTTTTTTCCTACGGAAACCTGAGCTATCCTATGTTTACCTCCCCAAGCAGGGCTTATGTCAGCCTTGTTTTGTCCTGGATCCGGCTACTAAATCCTCCTGGCAGCCCTGCTGAAGTCCCTCCTCCGGGAAGCTCCTAATGTTAGCAGGCAATTACTGTTTTCTGTTTGCCCAGATTAATTTTTTTTTTTTTTTTTTTTAAAGTCTACCTGCTCCTTGGGGGAGGAATGATGGGTTTCCCCGGGACTCAGGCCCTTCCTGGGCTCCTCGCCAGCATCCCCGCCAGGTCCCGGGCTCGCCGGCCGC